CACTCACCCACCAACACTCCACACCCACACCCACCGCCGACACTCGCGCCTACACTCAGCCACACTCCACACCTACACTCACCCACCCATACCCCACACCCACACCCGAAATTTCATTTTGCGCGTAAGTGTCGTGCGCGGAAATGTCGCCGCAGAAATGTCGTGTCATGAGAAATTTATTACTAAAAATTTTCTTCTTATATTTTTTTTTAGGTGATTGCAGAAAATAATGACGTTAAAAAAGGTAAAGAATATACGATTATTTAGATGTTGATAATAATTATTTTTTTGTTGTTTTAGTTGTCTTATCACTTAATTCAGCTATAAGTACATTTAAGCCTGATGTTCAAGACATGATGAAAAATTTTACGGGATTTGCTGAACTATGGGAAAAAGTAAAAATTAATTTTTTTATTAGTTCAATTCAGTTTTCTTTTTTTGTATAAATATAGGAACCAGAAACAACTGTAAAAGCATTTATGGACTCGAAACCATTAATGGTTGATTTTGAAGCATTATTTAAACATTATCGTCGAATGGAAACTGATATTGATGAATTTCCTCCATCATTTCAAGTTGGTTCAATTGTATTTTATACTGATAATTTAAAACGTGGTTTAAAAACTGAAATAAATAATTGGAAAATGGCTTATGCTAAAGCTTTAAATGACAAATCATCACAAGATATGCAAATGGTCTTCGATAAAATCGATGATATACAAAAACGTTTAACACGTCCATGTAAAGATTTAGACGATGTTCGTACGCATATGGGTGCATTATCTGAAATTCGTCAAAATGAAATTTTAATTGATCAAACAATAACACCTGTTGAAGAAACTTATGTTATGTTAAATAAATATGAAATTGCATTTAATGATGGTAAACCTGAACTTGTTGATACATTACAATATGCATGGAAAAAATGTTTACAACAAGGAAAAGAAGTACAAGCTCATTTACTTGAGATTCAACCAGTATTTAAACAAAATCTTCTGGATAATGTTACAACATTTCAACAAGATTTTATTACATTTGTTGATGATTATAATAAAAAGTACGACTTTGTTTGTATTAATTTTGAATTGAAAATTAGACTTAATTTGATTTTAAAGAGGACCTATGGTTCATGGTACACCACCACGTGAAGCTAGTGATCGTTTAACAATCTTTCAAGCGAAATTTGATGAATTATGGAGAAAATTTGAAACATATAGTGCTGGTGAAGATTTATTTGGTTTAGCAATAACGGATTATCCAGATTTACAACGAATTAAACGAGTATAAATTCATTTTCTTTTCTTTTTAATTTCGATTTATTATGGAATCGATCGAAAAATTGTCTTATAGTCAGAAGGTTAAATATCCGACGGATGCACTTTTGTATGTAAAACAACTGCACTAGATGATAGAAATGTGTATTCGGCTAATATATTCAAAGTCATCTGATTCTAGAGTTTATGGACTTTGAATTGAAAAATTTCAGATCTAATCGACTCTATCAGGTTCATTTCCATTTTCATCCCCAAATCTCGTATATGTAGTACTATTCATTTTTAGATATTGGTGTAACCAGACGGGAGTTA